TTTGTGTTAGGTATACACTATCTATATATTAAGGCGCGTCACGTTCTGCGCGCGCCTCAAAGAACCATCAAACCACCACAGATGGGGTCCAATAGGGCTGATGCCGATACGGAGTCGCGGAGAACCTAACGGGTTACCGGGGCTCCGGCTCGAAGTGCAGAAGTAGGAACGGGGTGGTTTTTAGTCAGTGAGAGTCTGACTATTGGCGGGAGCAGACACTCGATGATTTTCTCCCATTACAAAAAAACACTATCTATACTGTTATCTAGTCGCGGAGAACCTAACGGGTAACCGGGGCTCCGGCTCGACATGCAGGAGAAGGAACGGGGTGGTTTTTAGTCAGTAAGAGTCTGACACTTCCTCCCGCCTCACCCAGGCGGGAGCAGTCATTCGATGATTTTCCCCCTTAAAAAAAAAACACTATCTATACTATTATCTAAGTAAAAGTAAGTTGTTGCATTGAAATATAGATTTTATTTGATTCCTATACTGTTTTATCTTTACAATAACCGTTTGCAAACCTATGAAATGCAATAAACACGAATGCTGAATAATCTGACAATGTTCACTTGGAAAATTTTATCAAATAAAAACGTGCTTGAAGCAAATCCCGATATTATGGTGACTAGACGTCTTTATTACAATCGTCTAGAGGTTTTACAAAATCTTCAGTTATTTATTGCTATAATTTTACATCGGAACTATATTTAGTCGTTTCATAGCTTTCGCAGCGAATTTCGTCGCGTCTCAGAATCAATGACACTTATATGGCAAAAAAATGCACGAGGAATTTAATTTAAGATAACATAACATAACATCACGCTTTTTATCCCCGAAAGGGTAGGCAGAGGTGCACACAGAAGTAACGCCCACTTTTCACTATTTATGTTATGTGTCCCATGTAATAGGGGGTGAGCCTATTGCCATATACCGGGCACATTTCCAGACTCCGTGCTACCACTGACATTTTTTTAATACTTAACCCACTAATACTTTGCCCGACCTCAGAATCGAACTCAAGACCCCTTGCCCGGCAGTCGCACTTGTGACCACTTGGCCAAAGAGGCAGTCTAGTCTAGTTGTTCAAATATTTAAGTCATTTAAACATAAACAAATCAGAAAAAACATATACCAAAGACGTTTTCCACAATTTTTTCTTAAAAAAACATATCGTAAGACAAAAACGTAAAAGACAGTCCCTTCAAAGGGCTTATCTACCTAATCTAGACGTCTGTGGCCTAACAATGGTGGGGGATTAAATAACACAGGCCTACCATCAGAAGGTAGTATTATCAGACAGAATTAATCGCTTGGTTACCGTTCAAAGAGAATGTTAGGTATACAGTATACTACCTCTAGTGCGTTGTATCAATTGGATTATGTTTCGGCTCAGAACTCTGTGACTGTCTGTTTACGACGATAGAAGACACGAATATTTTGATTCACGTGTTTCTTTAGATATGATCTGAGATGAAAGTCTTTTTCTAGAAAAGATAGGTAAATATAAGCATCGATTATGCTATTATAAGTCTTGTATAATTATTTTTTTTACGGGGGGAATATCATCGGTTCACTGCTACCGCCTGGGTGAGGTGTGAGGGAGTATCAGACTCTTACTGACTAAAAACCACCCCGTTCCTTCTCCTGCGCTTCGAGCCAGAGCCCCGGTAACCCGTTATGTTCTTCGCGACAAGTCCTGTATAATAAGAGAGACATTTATAGCAGTATATCGAATTCGTAGATCATTAAACCTAATACCTATCTAATATAGTTAGCTCAATTGGTCTATATAGGTAGACAAGTAGTATTAAAACACTAGTCGAATAACATAATTGTGTTGAATGTCATTGATTTATATTTACTTGACTAACGCCTTTTGGCTAGAGGGCCAAGAAACTGAAATAGAAAACCCTTGAAAATGATGCACCTAGTCAGTTCAAAACTTATCATCATCTATCCAAAAATAAACATAAATATTACTAAATAAAACCGTTGTTTAGAAAAGTTAATATCACTTTAAATAATTAATTAGCTATGACAGGATAATTAATAATGACTTAGTTATTTATTTATTTATTCATAAATTATTGCACACACAGAAAAAATATTGTATACATTGCAATAGTAATTTGAGTACAATGGGCGGCCTAATATCGTGTCTGGTCTGGTATCACACGCGGCGATTTCTTCCAGACAACCTTTGGATGGAATTTTTAAAAACAATTCTGAGAATGGGTGGTAGGTGCACAATAAAAGAAAACATAGAACACAAAAATAGAAGAAAAACAAAAAAAAAACAAATTAAACAATCAATAGAACCTACATACTACATATATAATGTATACTAAAATGATATGATATAATGTACTTGACCCAAGTCAATGTTAGCTAGAGTTTTAAAATTATCATTTACCTCAATTATTGTATCGTTTACTAACATCATCACAACAAACATGTTGTGGATAGAGGCTGCCTGACTATTACTGCTAATAAATAGCTTAACATGCGAAGGAAAATCATTATGCCCGTCTACCTTTATAATAAGCAGCCTTGACAAGATAATATGACACTTTTAGCTTCGTATAGTAAGGTCACCGCTATTACAAGGTATATGTAATTTTTGTGACAGATAGCTATCTAGGCGTCTTGATATATTGACTTTACATATAGCATAGTCCAGTACAGTCTTGCTAGCAAATGTTCAGTTAAATGAAAAAGGAAACATGCTTCACACACTTAATTTGCTTGTGCAAGTTGCGGTGAATGATCTATGACCTCTCGTTGAGCTTCTCCGGGAATCGTTATATCAGATGGATGGATACCTACTAATTCATCATCTTCATCAACAGCCTATTAAATGCCCACTGCTGAGCAAAGCCTCTTCTCACACGGAGATGGTTTGGACATTTATCACCACGCTTGTTCATTGCAGATTGGCGATTTCAAACTTATAATTAGAAATTAAAAGCCCAAGTTTCCTCACGATGTTTTCCTTCACCGTTTGTCAGTGATATTTAAACAATCTGAGAAAGTACATGCCATCAATAGGTTTGGAACCCGCACCCTCTGAGAAGCGGGGGTCTTAACCTTCGGGCCACCACGGCCTTACCTATTTATTATTATACTTATTGGAGGAATTAAACATAAACTATATTCGGTTCCATTGGCTCCAGATTATGACCTCATTTAATTCTAATAGTATCTATATTTCAGTAGTCAAATATACTTTAGTATAATTAGGTATCTCTTCCATAAAGATTACGAATATTATTTATAATAACGCCGATCTAGACGGTACAATAAGTAGGTATTCCGACGATACCTTTTGCAGTACTTTAGCTTCGTGGAGTTTGGGCACGTTCCCCACATAAAGTGCTCTTTAGGGAGGCTGCGGGTTAATAAGGGTCGGTGTGCTGAATTAAAGGTATGGACGTCACTACCATGATGTCTTCTCGATAAAATGATAGTTTATTATAGGTTGAGACGTGTTATAATGAGTTTTATTTTTTAGTAAAGATTTATATTGACGCTAGGCTGGAAAGTCTGTTTATTTATATTAGTTTATGGTAATTTTCGTAGGACATACTAAATTAATTGCATGCATGCTACTCATGAATATTATTATGAGCCTTGAAACTAGTCGAGTTCTCGTCAAACGGTTACGTGAGTAAGCCGAAAACATAATAATTAATCTATTTATTTTTCAATTGATTATAATTAATTATGCATACGGGATCATTGTTTCATTTTGTTATCCTTACTTATATTATAAAGAGGAAAGTGAGTTTGTTGTTTGTTTGTTTGTTCTGCTTTCACGCCGTAACTACTAAACCAATTGCTTTGAAATTTTGCAAACGTAAAGTTAAATAATAGGGTAGTTTTTATCCCTGAAAAAATTGATATTCCCGAGGGAAAACCAAAATATTGGTATAGATGGCGCTGTGTGTATTGGTACAGATAGTGCTGTATGTCATTTAAAACTAGTCAACGAATTACTTACTAATTGGAAAAATTTAAAAAGCGCGATATAACCGAATTCCACGCGAAAGCTAATAGTTTGTTTGCCTGTCTTAAACGACACGACAGAACGGAGGTACTAATAAACTTGATTTTTTAACTGAAGGTAGTTGAAAGGATTGATAGGCTCATAGGTTACTTTTTATCCTTTTGTGACGCGAGAGAAGCCGCGGGTAAAAACTAGTAGATTTATAATTTAGAAGACGTGCAATTAAAAAAACACATCAAGTTTGTATTAGCTGTACAAACTTAGGTTAAAAAGTATCCTCCATGTCCAATACAATAATATCAACGAGCTTATAGTTCAATCAAAACGCGTAAATTGTTAACATATTAAACGCTATGTGGTTTTTTTTTTAAGGGGGGAAAATCATCGAATGACTGCTCCCGCCTGGGTGAGGCGGGAGGGAGTAAACGCTATGTGGGTTACCGGTGACCGACGACTTGCCTTCAATAGTTTTCTATTGGCAGTCAAAGGCTTAGTGCGCATTTATCCTATTTTTTCTCTTCCACTTAAATCAGACCAATTACGTATTTAGTAAATAATTTCTAAACATAAATTGACCTGCAAGTTTCCGAGGCAATTTAAACTTTAGTATTGAGGCACGGCATTTGAACTGACAAGACGTTGGTGACAAGGTCCGACAAAAATACAAACATAAAAATACTTTAAGCCATTGTTTAACGTTATAATTGCGTTTAAAAACATCTGCATAATACGGTGAAGTGCATTAGCACTTGTTATTAAACAAATCAGTGCTGTTTGAAGGAACCGAAAAAACAAGAAAACAATCAAACAGGATAAATTGGAGGTTAGTGAACAACAAAAAAACATAGCAATAGCACATCAGAAGTTGACATACCACCTGTCAATGACAGGTGTCATTGTGAATTGACATAACGGGTTAGTGTTGCCAGGAAAATAAATAAAAAAATAGTTTCTAAATCGTTCCAATCTACGTGAAGAAATCAATAAACAAAATATGGACAGTCAATTTCAAATGTTGTTTGAAAAAATGAAGATCGAGATGCAGAATCAAACAGCCGAACTGAAGGAATCTATTACAAAGAGCATAATGGACACGATGGACGAGAAGCTATCACCTATAATAGAAGAAAACAAAAAACTGAAAAGTGAAGTGGAGAAACTACAAAAGGAGATAGAACATTTAAGAAGGGGAGAAAGAAGTAACAATATTATGATATTTGGTCTAGAAGAACTAGAAACGTCTACTGGCAAGTTACTAAACAAAATGAAAGGAATTTTTAAGAACGATTTAAATATTACATTAGAAGATAACGAGATTAACAAAATTCATCGCATTGGAAATAAAAACAACGAAAGGAATAAGCCGAGACCAATACTATGCTCATTTGTCACCAACTGGAAGAAGAATGAAATAATGAAAAATAAAAAGAGCTTAAGTAAGATATATATAACCGAAGATTACTCTAAGGAAGTATTGGAAAAGAGAAGAGCATTAAAAACAGAGCTAGACAAAGAGAGGCAGAAGGGGAACGTTGCATACCTTAAACACGATAAATTAATAGTAAAGGAAAACTACAGCAGCCACGAGAAAAGGAAAAGAGACGTATCTGCTTCTCCATCTTCTTCTTCCTCTTACCAAATGCAGCCAAGAAAGCAACAAACTATATCATCAATTAAATAGAACAGAACAAATGCTTTCGATTTAATGTGCTCCAGACCTAGCTCTCATTCTGTTACGCCAGCTTCCAAAAAACAGTAGCAACTAGAAGTCGGCAAGCGGAAACAAGAACCAACCGAAGAAATAATTAAACACCAACCTCCCCCAAGCCGGCTGGTCATCGTGGGGGAAAATGACCGCAACCCTCCAACCAATAAGAACAAACGAAGAAATTCAATCTATATTGCAGCCTTGAATGTGCTTACCCTCAAAAAACAAGAAAATCTTACAGAACTAATCTACGCATTACAACAAATCAAATGGGATATCATCGGTTTGAGTGAGGTAAGGAGAATGGGCGAAAACATTTCGTGTCATGATGATTACCTTATTTATTATATTGGAGAAACTCCTGGACGTCACGGAGTCGGATTTATTATTAAAAAACATTTAATAAAGTATATAGAAGGATTTATAGGTATCTCGGAACGCATTGCAATAATGAATCTGAAACTCCCAGGATACAAAGAATGTTGGTCTGTTATACAAATATATTCGCCCACAGAGCAATCAGAATTGGAAATAATAGATTCTTTCTACATTGATCTGAACAAAGCCATCCAAGAGCATGCCCATAAAAACCTAATAGTGATGGGTGATTACAACGGCCAAATTGGAGATAATCGCTTTGGAGAGAGCACTATTCTGGGACCATATACATACAGCAAAAAAAAGTAGAACTAGGAATGGTGAAAAAATTACTAACTTCGCTCTTGAAAACAACTTAAGCATATTGAACACTCTGTTTAAAAAAAAATTGAAGAATAGGTGGACCTGGATCTCACCCGATGGAAAAACCAAAAACGAAATAGATTTCATAATGACAAACAGAAAGAGATGTTTCACTAACTTTTCAGTTATCAATAAACTAAACTTTTACACAAATCATAGATTAATTAGAACTGAACTGAAAGCAAAACAACCAAAAAATCCCAGACCAAAACAACACCTAAGGACTACAAGGCTCGGAAAACAACAATTGGAACAAATAACAACTGCACTAAGAGACAAACTCCAAAACTTCACAGCCCATACAAAAGCACTGGGTACACAGGGAAAATACAACTGGATAGAAGAAACCATCAAAACCATAACACACTCTAGTGCAAACACTAAAGCGAGAAGCGAGAAGAAAAAATGGCTCACAGATAACACTTTACAACTATTAGAAAAAAGGAACCAATTAATCACAGCAAGAGACACACAAGCTAGAAGGAAGTCTATAACCACAATCAGTAAAGAAATTAAGGAAAGTATAAGGAAGGACAAGAAACAAGAAAGATTAGAGACAATAGAAAAACACATAGCTAAAACGGGTGGAACCAAAAAAGCATTTCGACAACTGACAAATTCGCAAGACTGGATTGTAAAAATTAAAAGTGCAAATGAAAAGTGGAACCACACCAGAACTGAAATACTGGGGACAGCTACACTATATTACAAGAAACTATATGAAAGCAATATAACACAAGAAGTAATTGATCTGACGGAAACTTCAGAAATTCCAAATATACTGCCTGCTGAAGTAAGGAGAGCAATAGATACTCAAGGACAAGATAAAGCACCCGGACCAATGAAATCATAAAACAAGGTAAAGAAGTTTTCATACCTGTCCTTACAGACATTTTCAATTAAATAATAAACACAGAAACGATTCCCCAGCAATGGACAGTGTCTAACATAATCCTACTCTATAAGAAAGGGGACAAATACAATATTGGTAACTATCGTCCTATTAGCCTTATGTCCAATATATACAAAATCTTTGCTAAACTTAAACTAAAACGGATCGAAAAAATATTGGACGAACATCAACCTATAGAACAGGCCGGTTTTCGTAGCGGTTATTCGGTGATTGACCACATTCACGTAGTGCGCCAAATTTTAGAAAAGTACAATGAATACCAGCTCATATACTACATTGCATTCATCGATTACAGCAAAGCGTTCGACTCTCTGATACATGACAAGATATGGAAAGCATTGATTGAACAGGGCATCCAACAAAAATACATTCGACTGATAAAGAACGTCTATGAATGCAGCACGGCACAAATCCAACTAGAAAAAAAAGGGATTCCATTTAGAGTAGAGAGAGGCGTTAGACAAGGAGACCCCCTATCTCCTAAATTATTCTCAGCGGTACTGGAGTCTGTGTTCAGGGAATTAGATTGGGAGCATCTTGGGATTAATGTAGACGGAGCCCCGTTAACACACTTAAGATTCGCAGATGATATAGTGCTATTTGGTAAGACATCAGAAGAGTTAAATAAAATGATAAACGATCTGGCAATGGAAAGTGAAAGGGTAGGGTTAAAGCTTAACCCAGATAAAACTCGAGTAATGACAAACGGAAACAAAGACAAAATACAGCTAGGAAATACAGACATTACTTACACCGACGAATATACTTATTTGGGACAGATCATAACTCCAAAAGAATCGATGGGCAAAGAAATAGAAAGAAGAATCACAAGTGGATGGAAGAGGTACTGGAGTCTCAAGGAGGCTATGAAGAATGAAGACCTTTCAATAAAATTAAAGAGCAAACTGTTTAACGCCTGCGTATTGCCTGTCCTCATCTATGGCAGCCAATCATGGGCCCTAACTCAAGATCTGTCAAATAAACTTGCAAGCTGCCAATACGCAATGGAGAGGAGCATGATAAACGTTAAAAAAAGGGATAAAAAAAGGAAAACAGACATACGATACAAAACAAAAACAACAGATGTAACATTAAAAATAAAAAGACTGAAATGGAGATGGGCAGGGCATATGATCAGAGGGCAAGAGAAGTGGAGCAAAATCGTAACCAGTTGGTACCCCAGGGAAGGAACCAGGAAAAGGGGTAGACCTCTTAAAAGATGGGATGATGACCTCAGGCAGGTGGCAGGAGTTACATGGCACAGAGTAGCTCAAGAACGAAAAGAATGGAAAAGGTTGGAAGAGGCCTTTGCCGACCGGCAAACAGATCTCCAAAAAATAAGTAATAGGTATTTTATGGATACTAGACCTAAGTAATGCAAATCCTAGGCAATATTAAATTATGTAACAGTTATTAGTTGGATCTGAATAAAGGGCTATTTTATTTTATTTTTTATTTATTATTATTATATTGAGGCACGTATCACCTTCCCGAAGGAAATGGAATGGTATGATTACGTATGTCTGATATACTTTTGTAAGTAAACACCTATAAAATTACTATAATAACACGAATCCTACAATGGCCCCAAAAATTTTGGCGCAGATACGCGGCATCAGTCCTACGTTACGGCCTTGTAATATGGGGAAATTCAGTCAAAATGAACAAATCACTTATTGCGCAAAAAAAATATGTCAGGGCAGTGTATGTAGCTGAATACTTAGAGCATTGTAAGCCATTATTTAAATCACTTAAAATTTCCCCACTTCCTTGTATGTACATTCTCGAACTTTGTCTATTTATAAAAAGGTATTCACACATGACATATTATACAATTTAACTTCTAATTTTTACCGGTTATGCTACGAGAATCCGAGATAATACTGACAAATTTATCCTAGAATCACCAAGTGTAGTTTACCAGGAAATCAAACTTGAGTCTACTCGTCAGTCACACTTATTGTGAGCACTCAACCAATCACGTAGATACCAAATAAACACTACAAGAAAATAAATTATAAAATATAAAACCACGTTTATTTATGAACAATATTATTTTGTTTGAATGAACTGAAATCCTGAGTTAAAATTCCATTGAAGCTAAATGCTCTGAAGCGTCGACACTCAAGTGGATGTATCCAACACAAATGGTTAGAGAATAAAAAATGTATTTACATTAAATGGAGTGTTTTCCAGCACCGGATTTTTTTTACGAAATAGCTTTTCATACCTTTTTTTACTTCAACTTTAGCAACTCTTATTGTATTATGAAAGTGATTTTAGTTGTGTTATGTACATACTACATTAGGCCTTATATACCCGAAGGGGTAGGCAATGGTGCACATTTAGGTACTTAATGCCACTGTACAATGTAACACTCACTTTTCACCATTTATGTAATGAGTAAGGTACGAGTAATAAGGGGTGAGCCTATTGCCATATACCGGACACAGTTCCAGAATCCGTGCTACTATTGAGATTTTTTTTAAAACCCAGTAATACTTTGCCTGACCCGGAAATCGAACCCGAGACCCCTTACCCGGCAGTCGCACTTGCGACCAACGAGGCAGTTACCAATAAAGATTCGCCATTAACAATTAGGTACAGTTTTAATCAATATAATCTAAGTAGAACGATGCTAGTAGGACTCTGTTGACGTACTGTTCAAAGAGATTGGTTCACGCTGGTCCCGTGTCAACACTTCACGCAACTAGTGATTGGAGCCATTTTCCTAAGGGTACAGCAAACATCTACAGAATATTCCATTTAAATTTAAGCTGGTAGATTTATGTCGTTAGTTTTCTATAACAGACTCCTTGCTGGTCTAATGATTTGTGTATAAATAATGAAACATGAGTTGATGGACACAATTCGCGATTCCATTTCGTCTTAGATGATTATGACATTCAAGAAATCAATAACGACCATCTCATGGATAACCCTTTGGGGGATTGAAAGATATGACATGATGTCCATTATATCGAATAGATATCACTTAAGAAAATGCCTGTCATGGTATCCTTCCTTAGACACAAATACAATACCAATATGTATGTATATCTTTGTACCTGCATTCATGTTGTTATCGTGAACTTCAATTGAGTTGTGTTCAGGTCAGCGCTCAGCCCACACCTGACCTTAAATCGATTTGCACGATTACCACTCCGGGTCAGTGTGGAATTCTCAAGATATTGTCGATCAATATTGAAACAAATCTAAATAAATATCAGCATAGATTGATATGAGCGTTATGTTTAACGTTATAGAGTTTCTTTCTGTTTCCGTTGCATCGTAAAAATGTATCTAGTATTCATATTTT